TAACAAAACCCACTGAGGATGTAAAATCATGGGTCATGATCTTTGAAGTGATTAGGGCCAAAACTTTCCGATGAGGTGTCTTAGATTTCTTATGAGTGTTAAGTTTTTTATTAACATTTCATATTCTAGAAAGAAGAAATATTACAAAGTGTATAGGGCCCCATTAATATGGACCCTTATAAATGAAAGTCACTCTTAAAATAGAAGTGTTTGCTGACTGCCATTCATTATTAGACCGACAGCTGGGCCTAAGCATTCTTTTAACTTCTAGGTGTCTGTCAAAAATTCTTCGCAGACCTTGAGTCTTTTCTTTTTCCTTTTGAAGTTCCCTTATTGCATGGAATTTAAAGAGCATAAAAATAATATCAGCAATGATATGGCTCTGAAATGCTAAGGGCTGACTTCGCTATTATTTCACTGTACACCATTTTAACCTTATGAAGCTATGTGGGATGTGATCCATCAAGAGAGGGGAGAAATCACGAGACAGCATGACATGAGCAGACTAAGGAGCTGAGGGGTCCACTTGGGGTACAGGCAGATGGGATCACTGGGAAGCAAGCAGCTTGAGGAGAAGGAGACCTGAAGCTCTTTAGAAATGTCTGTGAGGGAAGTTGGAAGAAATGGATCACCCGATATGTTGGAGGGGTTAGGAAAAGCAATGGGTTTCTCTCTAGAAGGTCAGGTGAAAGAAAATGTGAGACAAGTCAAGAGTGTTTCCCACTTGTTGTCTGTGCTGACATTCTGTGGACTGGGGATTTCACACCGGGGTGTTGCCTTTGGTGGCATCAGCCTTTTACAGAAGTTGCCTCCCCATGACTCCATGACTGGGTTTATTACCTAGACCACAACATGCCATTGCGTTTTTCACAGTGGCTGAAGAGTTGGTGCCTGCCACCAGTATGTGGCATTTATCACTCACCAGGAATGTGTCGGGCACAGGTTAGATTATGGGTGCCAGGGAAACAACGGATGAAGATTGCTGAGTCTGCATTTTGAACTTAAATCATTGGGCAGAGAAGCCCATTGTCTGCCCTATGGCCATTATCTATTTCCTTGCTGATCCTTTACTGATTTTCTAAAAGGACCAGGCAGTAAATTTATTAGAGAAAGTTGTTCTCATTTGGAGCCACAAGGGAATGAACTCTTGATCTAAGCAAAGCATTTAATTTTAACTTCTTTGTCAGCAAGTGTTTTAAGGAAAGGAACTACCATTAGACTCATTTATGGCAAAGAAATGCAAGAAAACAAATAACTGAGAGGGAGTTCTTTTGCAAAATATTTTTTTTTCTTTCTGATAAAATGAGAGGACAGAAAAAATAAGAAGGTATTTCCATTTGGTTCTTTATCGGTTTTAGATATCGTTATGGCAAAAAAGTCTTCAACTGTAAAGAATTGGAAAATGGCATGTCTACCATATTGAAAAATGGATCCTCCTTCTGTTTTTATTTTATCTTATTTTAGTACTGAGGATTGAACCTAGGACCTCATGGGAGCTTGGCCAGTGCTCAAGTGCTAAGCTGTGTTCATATCCCTCAACCTTAATTTTATGGTGATTTTGGAATTTTAAAAACCCTGTTTTATTGTATTGTTTTATTTTTACTTTTTACTTTTATTTTTTTCTTTTAAACATAAAAGAATGAACACACATTAGCAAACAAACAGACATAAACAAAAAAACACCAAAACAATAGACGCAATACAGACTTTCAGACAAGGTGATAGGAAATTAACAATTGTTGCTGTATTACACATTGGTTACTCAGTTAAACAATAGGCATGTAAGATCAGTCAAACAATTAAACATTAACTGTTCCTTTCAATAAAGCAATAGAAATCGGTAGTACAACTATCTTAGCTATGCTGTATATACATATTTTCCCCTTCTTTCTTTGTTTTCTCTTTTCCCTCCTCCTGTATGTGTAAACACCATATTATCTCACTAGTGTGAGAACCTGAAAGAGTGAATAAAATCTAAAAGGTACATTAGATGTGGTGAAATGGAAAGAAACTGCTCAAAAGAAAAGAACTCTATTGTTATCTTAACTTTTGGAAAATGCTAGTTGACATGACAACTCCTGGCATTCTTTCTCACTGAAATGGTTTACTCTTTTTTTTTTTTTTTTGCTCTGTTCATTTGAATTTTTCAAGCCCAATGCTAAGGCCGTCTTCACCATAAGGCCTGTTGACAATCATTTTGAGAAATAATGTCTTTTAGCTTAGTTTCCTATGAATTAAGTTTGTGAAACACACCCCCTCCCAATACTCCTATGGTAATTTGTACTTACTGATTTGAAAGATACATTGATTCCCTTCAGTAACAAAGTAGTTCAGCCTCACAGTTACTAACAATAGAGCGCTCACAGGCAAAGGGAGAACAAGGTGCTTCTTCTCTATCTCCCCAGGATAAAACAAAACAGAGTGTTTCCCTTGTGTGCATCTTCAGATGAATGGCGTTTATCCTCTCCTGGGGAGGCAGACAAGTCAGCTCTTCCAAGGGCACTTAGAGAGTCTTCTGGGTCTAGCTCTGCTGTAGACTAAACATAGCTATGAACACTACCGAGTCGATGCCTACAGTGAGTTATATTAGAGGCAGGGAAGTTACCATAAGCGCATGAGCAAACACACAAAAGAGCTGGAGGTACCCGTACTATGAAACAGACAACCGGGAGGGCTAGGATAGAAAGCTGCCTGCTCAAGAGGGTCAGTGAGAGTATCAAGTGGGCTGCTACCTCTTAGGAGGTGTTCAAGGACTAGTAAGTTATAAGATCTGCTAGGAGAGGGTTTTTGTGGCTTCTTTCATTCTTTTCAACCTCTGCTTTGATGAATGGAAATTCGTAAATTCAACCCAGTCAAATCCGTCAACATTTTATCTTAGTACAATTTAAAAATTTTACAATTTTGCATGTTATTTTGCAGTGATGATTTTGGGTATTATTTTAAAACTCCTTGTATTTCGTATCTCTTAGAAACTTACACTTTTGGCTTTCACATGTAGGTGCTGACTGCACCAAAAGCTCACTTCTTCTGCGTGTTTTGATTATGTTTATGGAGACTCAGTTGTCTCAGGACTATTTGTTGCAAAGTGCTTTGAGGCTGCATTGATCTGCCATGACTTGTGTCACAGACAGCAAGCAGGGGCTGGGGATTTAGCTCAG